TTGCATTTTCTTTAGCATGTCGGCGTTATTTCGAGCAGCTGCATCCAGAACATCTGGAAAGAGTAAATTTCCAGGACCTATACTGGACAATAAAAACGAAAATGCAGTATAACAAAACACTGCTACTTTTATTTTTCTAATCAGATTGCTACTTGCCTATGAAACCGAAAAAGCAGAATTCGTTAACGAATGTTTTCTAGTAGTATGCCGGTCGAATTATGATTTTGGTAATTAATTATTTGAACTGAAAGATCTGCGATCATTACCTGGCTCTACCATGTGTGTAGGGCTTCCATCCTGATCAGCTCTCGAACCTCGATGGACAGCCTCTTCTGGTTGCGAGGAGCTTGCCTTGTTCATCTGACGTTGTACTGATGAAGGAATCATCTGGGTTGGAGGTCGAACCTGCTGAGGAAAAAGCCGATATTATTGACGAAAGGAAACAAAAAGAATGTAGTGAAAAAATTTATTAATCGCTTATTAATCGCATGTGGGGAAAATTAAAAATATGAGTGAACAAATTGAGAATGATGAAAAGAACGGGGACAACAACTTTTTAAACTAAAAATCATGAATTCTGCACGGCAGCAAAACTAGCCAAACGTGCCATCTTCGAGAGCACTCTTATTTGATAGATGTGATTTTACGTTTTAATTAAACCCATCCTTGTTTCGTACTCACTTTTCCCAGTTTTCCCTGTGCAGCAGCAGCGACAAGCTGTTGTTGTTGAAGACGCAGAAGAGTTGCCCGTATCTGATCATCTAAAAAATGAAGTCATAAATGGCAATGCAATACTGATCGGTAATTATGAAAGTATAGGTTGTAAAGTCTCATAAGCCTGGAAGGGCTCATAAATTAAGTTCTAAAGGGAACGAACGGAACCGAGGCTAGCCAAGCTATGCGCTATTCTAGTTTCGCTGATTGGAAAAGAGATTATGAGAGAGCAAATCGCAATGAGCGACCTCTACATTTGAAGAAAAGAATCGTACTGCGGGAAGTATGTTTCAACGCTCACTTACAGCAGCGTAACGGAAATTTTGTAAAGACAGGAATTCCCACAGAGTGCGTGTTCATGTAGGATCGAGCGACAGTTTTTG